ATATATATATATATATATATATGCTAAACTTAACGCTATGTAGTAATTCGTTTGTGATGTTAAAAATATTGAGAATACCTTTATATTATATATTTTATATGACTTTTGAGTTGAAATAGATAAATAAATATTGACCGTGATCAAGAATAAACAATCTTCTTTTAAATCTGGTAATGCACACGGCCGGCACTCGTTTGTCGTCGTTTATTTGTTCGATGGTTCATATGTGATCTTGCGAGGACATATGGCTTCATTGAATTAGACTTGGTAAGTAGTTGCTGTCATAGCTTTGGTCGTTAGTCTTATAGTTTGACCGCTCGTAGATAATCTTTTATAGTTTGACTTTTTGGTATTTTGATCCTTAACTTATAAAATTTATATTAAAATTCTTATTGTTATTGAAGTAAAATATTTAATCTTATTTACTCTAGCATTATCATTATATTGACGGAAGATATAAACACGTAACAACGCCAGGAATGATACAAAAATTATCGATAAAAAGATAATTTTAACTTCTCAAGTGAGTCATTTGCGTCGATGTCGCTTTACAATCGCGTTAACGACGGGTGAGGCAAAGGCCTTACGTCCCATTGACACAAATGCAGAGCAGTGCGATGCTAACATTGATGCAAAGTGATGTCAAAGGAGAAAAAGGAGGGAGAGCGACAATGAGAGATGAAGCAAAAGAGGAGGAAGAGGACGAGAACGATGGTCGTGTTGACATAGATGCAGTACGACATCGATGCAGATGCAGGGAGTCGACGTCTACATCGACATTTGTGGGCTTTTGCTTTAGATGTCGTGCGATGTTGATGTAAATCCAGAGCGTCAGCATTTGTGTCTTCTACTATGTATCGTCCTGTATCTATGTTGGCACCGACACAAATGCTGAGCAGCGTCTGCATCGACATCTGCATTGGCATATGTGGCTTCTGCTCTACATTATCTTGCATTTGTGTCAGCATTGCAGAGTGGTGCTCAACCTTCTTCCCCCTTTCCTTATTCCTTCATCTTTCTTTCCCTTTACGTTACGTTGTATTTGTGTCAGCGTCGATGCAAATATAGAGTGTTAGCATTTGCAACTTTTGCTTTACATCACCTTGCATATGCATCGACATCGACACGGATGCACAATGTCGACATCTACGTTGACATCTGCAACTTTTGCTCTACATCAGCCTACATATGCGTCGACGTCGACATAGATGCATAGCAGTGCTCATCCTTCTTCCCCCCTTCCCTAATCCCTCATCCTTCTTTCCTCTTTCACCGTTCTGCATTTGTGTCGGCGTTGATGCAAATACAGATTGACACTAATGCAGATGCAGAGTGTCGACATTTGCGTTTACATCTGCGACTTCTAATATGCATCGCCATGCATCTGCATTAGCACTTACGCAGATGCAGAGCACGAAAAGAGGGAAGAAGGATGAGTACTACTTTGCATTTGTGTTAGCGCCAACACGGATACAAGGCGATATAGAGCAAAAGTCGCAGATGCAGAGCAAAGCGACGTCGCTCTATATCTGTATCGACACAACCATCGTCCTCGTCCTCTTTCTTCTCTCTCTTTCTTTCACTTGTCGTCGTTGTTGTCTCTCATCTTCCTCCTCCTCCCCCTACAAGAAGCTGTAGAAGTCCCTTAACTTCACTCGGCCCATCTCCAAGGACATTCCCGTGTCGTTCTCGTCAATCATAACCACAATAGCTACTCATAGTCCCGAGCGACGTCGTTGTTTGCCACCACAATAACAATTGACTAAGAAAAAAGAAAACATAACTAAGATAAAAAAAAGAAAACATAACTAAGATAATAAAATTACATTTTTGTCTATCATTTTGATGCTAGCGCATATTATATCTTTACCGATGGTATTAGAATAAATAAAATTAAATATTTCACTTTCATAATTATAAAAATTTTAATTTATTTTTTTCTTTCATAATTACAAAAAATTTAATTTAATTTTTTTTAATTTAAAAAATCAAAATACTTAGATGACTAAATGATAAATATGTAATTAACCCATGTTTATTCATTGTTGTTGCTACGACAGCATCGTATAGAGAACTCAACAATGGTAGCTTGCCTTCTCCAAGCGAGCGTACAATTGGCTTGTAGAACACAATGTTTGGTTTAGGTTAGACGTGATAAACGGATTCAGAATAACATTACAGGAAAAAAAAAAAAAGAACTGTTTTCTGTATTGGCCTCTCGGTGTTTTCAGAATCAGCTTATTCCAAATCGATTTCCATGGCAATGCAAATTACTACTGCATCAGACATCAATTAGCTCACAAATTAGTACTGCATCATAAAGAAGTATAACCTCAAATGAAAAGGTTCGGAGATGGAGGAGCTAAATGAAATATGATGTATATTTCAACAAAATTCAACAAATTTGTTCTCTGACTGTCCCAAACCAGCGTCCTTAACATCCACATAGCCAAGGTGTCCTTTGTAGGAATAGCATAATCCAATGCTATCTGATCAACACAACAGTTTTCACATAAATATTATCATCCAAGACATCTAATTGATGTTTTGCTTAACACTAAAAGATACCAACAATTTGCGCATAATCACCTAATCAGTTGCAGGACTTACAAAAGCAATCTAATCATATTCAAGTTCATCCGGAGTGATGGGCCGCTTCAGGGGTATAATAGACTTCTTATCAACATCACGAGATAATGCCTTCCGCATATCTGAAAAATCAGGCAGGCAAATGAAACATAATTAGCATCATGATCTGTTTGGATAACTAAGCATGCTGTCACTTGATGTTTTTAATGAAGTCACTTACCCAACCCATCTTCTTCCCCGGAATAGTAGCGTAGTACTCTTCGGTATATCACATATCCAAGCTGTATAAGGGAAAAAAAAAGGTCAACAAACATAATAAATGAACACAAATATAATCAACTGCACAAGCAGGAAATCATGAGTATCAAAATAACTTGTTTGACTGAGATTTGGTACCACTAAGCGAGAACAATGAAATGTTTGATATGAAGTTTTAACCAATCCAGCATCAAATCACCAGTGACTACTGTTTAGTAATGCACCATGGAACTCCTTAACGAGTACAAACAAGTTGAGTCTAACACCAACAGCCAGTGACTACTGTTTAGTAATGCACCATGGAACTCCTTAACAAGTATAAACAAGTTGACTCTAACACCAACATCTATCTCATTCTTATAGGGCAGCTATATACAGATCCTTTAAAATATGTAAAAGTTTCATGTACGCCCCTTTAAAGTTAATATCATGGTTGTCTCTATAATTTTCAAAATTCTTTCATATAGACCCATGCCCATGGATTTGTTGGACACACATTCAAAAACAAAAGTTTATCTACTTCCTACCTATGATATTTGGGATACTACTCAAAAAGGATTGGTTGTTATGATTCTACACAGAAATGTGGTTAGGTATTCAACACAGAAATTTGGTTTAAGTTAAGATTAGCATTCTCAAGAAAGTTATGTCGGTGACCTAACAACACAGAAATTTGGTTGTTTATAGTTTCATTCTACAACAAAATGGATCACAGTTACAATAAATAAACCACACTTTTGCTCCTTCCAGATTCACAAAGGAAACACTCATGCGGTCATCCACTAACACGATGCAATCAATTCCTCATAACTCTCCTTCCAGCAAAATATGGACTTCTTTACTGCTCTTTATCACATCCATCACCTTCATTTACGTTCATAATGGTAATGGCTCCCCATCACAGAAATACTAATTAAAGTTTAAACAACACATAGCAGGGCTTTTTTTCATTCCATTAAACACCATTTAGACTTGCCGAATCAGAACACGAGAATGTCATGATGTCTATCAAACAACAGAATGACAAAAAACAGAAATGATTTTGTCAAAAGTAAGCTGGAAGTGATAGAAGGCCTACCTTTTCATACATTTTCATGGCTGGCATGTTGGATGCCCTTACAAAAAGATCCACAAAGTATGCTTTATCGCTGCACAAGGTAACTTTATATATTAGCATGAAGAAACGCCAGAATAACATGGGGAAAACTATCACAATCCAACGATGTGTGACTTATGGCATTGCTACAACCACAATTGTTAAACCACAAGAACAACTACTCAAAGATCAAATAGTTTCCATTGGAACATAGGAAGACAATTTTCTTTTTTATTTTGAAGGCATAAAACAGCTTTGATGAAAGTAATGATAGGAACCTCAGCTGAGAAACAAGTGCTTTATGAATTACCAGATTGTTATTAGCTTGGAATTTGGATGTAGGCACATTTGTTTCCTGTTACTGTATCTAACAGAGACAATCACTATTCAATTTGACCATTTCCATCTTCCAAACAAAATCAAACTTGATCAATCATGAGCATGATCATCCTCATGATTAACAGAATTTAAGAGATAGAGAGAGGCCAAGGAGAGGGTTAAAGCAAAAAAAAGATCAGTCAATTCATTTTTATTGTCAAGGGTTATATTGTATAATCATTTAGCAAAAGACTACAACATTTCTACGTGCACTAAAGTGCACCTTTTAGAAAATTGATTTACTGGTACTTTGTCATCCATGAGCTGTTCAGACCACCTTCAAATTTTAAAGGCTTAAAGAAGGATGATAGATACATCAACAACAATGGAAATAACAACCTCATAGATATTGACGATAATTAAGAAACGGAAGACAAATTAATCATTCATTTGATGTCAAAGACTGCTAATGAAAGGCAGGGACACCTCCTAACTCAAATACTTGGGTTGAGGTAAAGATGTTTATGCCTGTTTTGGCTATTTGTGCATAACTGCCTTGCTGAATATGACTTCATGAGTGTGACCGCAGACCAATTACATCAATTAAACTGATGGCCATTGTTCCGCACATTTCCATAACAAAGTCATCTCACAAAGTATCCACAGCATGCCCAAAGGATCAGGAGAGGTTCTTTATCCAAAGAATTTCTTGAGCATGAATGACTTGTTAAAGTTGCAATTCAACTTACACTAGCACATCCAGTGTCTCGACTCAATAGTGAAAACAAAACCAGTCAGACAGTCACCTTTTAATGGAACTTCATTGTTACCATGTCTTGATAACTTATATTCAAGGAAAAGGTATGTTCAACCTTTTTGGAGTATCGAATTGTTGGAAGCAATTAAGAAAATTAGAAAGAGTCATGAAGGGGGATGGATAAGGATTTCGAGCACACAAAAAAATATGACTGCCTTGAAAAAAAAATCCCAGGATTGGTTGTCACCATCAAGTAAAGTTTTGCAATGGCTATTTCTTACAGTTATTCAAAAATAAAAAATGAGTTGGGGTTTTTTTTTAATAAGAAAACAAAATTAATTTTGGTATTGGACTTGAAATGAGGACTGGCTGCTTCCATGGATTTTAACTGCCGCATCATTTTGCTTAAGCTGGCTCCAGTGTGAACCCAATAACTCTATAAGATGACATTCAAATGCAAATCTAACTGGCACAGCTAGCTGCACTAGCAGAACAAATCTTTTAAGCTATTCTATCGATTATCTATCTATTGGGTTGTGGTTTAAAATGTAATCTACGAGAAAAGTGTCAAATTTCAATTGATATAGAAAGATGAAAAAAGAAGAGAAAATTTTAATATTTTAAGATTAACTTGATTGCTATGACAATCAGTATGAAATGTAAAACATTTGAAACAGCAATACAAGAAGTACTGAGCATAGAAAGACATTATTTTATTATTAAATAATTCATGTAAAAACTTTTCCTAACAAGTACTTATTTTTAGGCATAAGCTCAGTTATTTGTGAGGCAACTACCATAGAATTAGAATTACAAAATTGATTTTGAATAACATCTATGTGCTCAATATAGGCAACTCCATTAAATTATGTGATAAGCAATGAGACAATCAACTGCAAGATTCAGGCATGCACTTCAACAGAAAGCCCAGAAATTAGTCATGACTAATAAATAAACACAATAAAGGCAGAAAGAGAACAAATACTACATCTTGTCGCTGATATCCTCCAACAAGTGCATAAGTTTCTTGGCTAGTTTTTGTCTACGGTACTCAGAAGAAACAGTAACTGCAGTTACATGGCCGTGCCACGATTCACCTTGTCCTTCAACCTTACCCATAACTGAAACAAGGACATTAGCACACTGCTACAATCAACCAGATGGTCAAACGGCACTAGAAACATAGATCTGAAATAAAGAACTTACTGTATCCCATGATATGATTACCGGGGCCCTCTGCAACGTGAAAGTAATCGGGCCACCGTGCCAGGTATGTCATGTAGAACGACATGTTGAACTGGTTGAATTCCAGAACGGGAGGCAAGGAATTTAGGTGAGCGAAAGAACCCGCGAAAGAACCATAACATGAACAAAGAGTGAAAGATTGAAGATGAGTAATAGAGAGGCAAGATTACGGTTTCTGTTAGGTGGTCAAGATTTACAGATGCGAAACGAAGTAAATCGTTGCAGCAGAACCGGCGGATGGTCGTCATCGGCACAAATGCAGGGAGAAACAAAGCAAGATAGTTATTCAGCAAGCTTATTCTTTTATCTTCACTGCTTCGTCTTTTTCGGCTACAAATAGCTTTTCCTTGTGGAACAAGTGCTAAACCCTAGACAGGGAAAAAAGACACAAAGAAGGTTAAATAACCTGCTGAATCCAAACAAAACAAAGGGAAAAGAAAAGAAAAGCAACGTTCTAAACAAGGAATCGTCCACTAAACCTACTTAGTCTCATTGTAAGGGTTCCTACCACGACCATTTGGCCATCGTGGAAAAAAGTGAAACAATTAGAAATCAACAAACCCTAATTAGCGTCATATGGTCTGTTATTGCACTCGCAGTACGATGTAAAAATTAGACGAAGGGGAAAAAGAAAGGTTCAGCGTCACCGGAGTCACTGGTCGATCAAGGCGATCAGGTTCCCGGGCATCGACCTCCGATCCGGTGTTTTGGGCGGAGGATACGGCGACGAGGAAGAGGGCTGCGCACGAGTTCGCAGCGTAAGGCGGCGGCAGGATGTTATGGAGACGAACTTGGTGGTGAGACGAGGCCTTCACCTTTTCTTTTAATGTTGTGTGTCTCAAAATGGGTCCCACAGTCGGCCGACATCCCGAGGTGTTTCTTCTGTGTTTGGTGTCGTTCGGCAGAAACGTAATCCAGTTGGCAGAGATGGAAGGCCACGTCGACAATTCTATATAGTGCGAATTCATAGCACTCCAATTTAATTCTTTTAATAACCATTCTACCCTTAACAACAGTTGTCGCCCAATCTTGGACGCACCTTCACCAAACCTTTCATTGCACCTCTGCCCTATCAACCGCCCCCCTCAGTCGTGTCGATCGGCTTGAATAGTCGTCCATCACTCGAAGTATAATCGTCCTTATTGGACCTCAATAATCATTTCTAGTCCATCACTATTATATTATCGTTGACCTCTTTTATATTATTAATTATAAATAAATAAAAAAGAAAAAGGAATGATCGATACTATTTTATTATTAATCATAAAAGAAAGGTTCTTTTATTATCATCCAATCCTGAGCGATAAAAGAAGAGATGTAACTCGTAAAATCCGCAATGATAGGAGTGATAGAAAGAAGCGAGACAGATGAGTTCAACAATCCCTCTTTGCGAGGGTCACGAGCAACGATATAGGATAAGGTCAGATAAAATAATTTTTTTATATAGTCAAAATATATTTTATGAAAAAAATTTAAAGTTTGAAATAATCTGAAAAAAAAACAAAGTTGGGATTTTTTTTCCGAAATTCGTCCTTCGATATATTGTCTCACCATTGTGAATGACGTCATTCACGTGAATTCGTGGCATCGAAATCGAATTGTGGGCATCCCGCTATATGAAGTTACAATCTAAATCAGCCGTCCATCACGTGATCAACGATTAGAAATCCACCAGGTCTACTGCGATCCTCAAAAGGATCAGCTGTATAGATTCAATCAAGAGACAATTATGCAACTAGTGCTCCAACGACACCTAATTGTCTTTGACGAGTTTGTGCCACGCGTCATTCGATGGATGGAGATCTGAGGGTCATTTAGATTCTTCGGAATAAAAAAGGAAGAGGAGGAGTAAAGTCTCCATGGATTCAAGCAGTCAAGCAAGGTTGAACGAAGTGATGAAGTACACTCCAATGGCGAGGTCGAGCCCCCACTTCGTCAAGGTCTTCTTCCCCGAGCTCTGCTCCGAATACCTGGTATTCCCTTCCCCTCCTCCGGCTCTCGCGTCAAAGATCAAATCTTTGGTGTCGGAGTAACTAACAAAGCACGATGATGGTGTTTCCTTAGGGTTGTCGACACCTGGTACTGTTTTTTGGTTCTGTCCTCCTTCCAAGTATTAATCTTATAAGGAATCGACTGGTTTTCTTTCCGAGGGCAGCGAGTGGACTAGGCATCAGTGGTTGTTTAGTTCCTTGCAGACAATCTACCAGCAATTTCTTGTATCAATGAATAACTTTTTCCCGGTGAAGTAGCTAATTAATTGAGCATGAAGTGTGAATATTTACTTTTGTGGTAATGAATATGTCTGTCCTAATTAGTACTTTGAATATATAAAAATGTACTAGTTTTCAATTTGATTGAAGAAAAAACGAGGGAGAATATATAAGATGACATGAACATGTTCAAGGGAGACCTACAGATATTGGTGGTGCAGAGAGAGGTAGAGGAAAATCTAATAGGATTTTAGTAACAAACAAAATAGTTTTGAAAGATCTTGATTTAACTAAAGACATTGTTATGCAGGGTGCTCAATGATGGGAAAGATTCATACAGCAAATCAAATAATTGGGATATTATGGCTTCTTGTAATAGCTGTTGTGGTTGTCTAGTTCTGAATTATAGTAAATTGTTTTGTTTGCTGTAGAAAATTCCACCGGCTTTCCGTGTACACTTGGAGAATGAATCTTTGGGGATGGTTTCTTTGAGAGGTCCAAGTGGCAAGATATGGGACGTGGAGCTGGTCGATAGCTCAAACGGGCTTCGATTTGAGAGTGGATGGAAGGAGTTTGTTGTGGACCATGCCATGGAGATTGGAGACTTCTTGGTGTTCAGGCTTGAGGGGTGCTCTTGCTTCTCAGTTTTGGTGTTTGATGCCACTGCATGCGAAAAGGAGGTGGCTTTCCTTGCAATGCCTAGCTGTGGTAATGTTGCCACTGTCCGTCAGTTCATGCATGGCAAGGAGGAAGCTGTCATTGATAGACCTCACCTGCAGGACATTGATACCGTCATTGATGTGAACAACGACTGGGAGGAAGTCCAGGACTCCAAACCTCTGGTTTTACACCCAAGTGATGTCCCAGTTGTTGAAAAAAAGAAGATGAGAAGCGTTGACTGTCTCGCTTTCCAGGGATCTCCCTTGAAGGAGGCATGCATATATCCTGATAGTTTGAAGTCCAAACAATCGAAAACAGGCCCACATGTTAAAGCAGGTTGTACTTTTGTTCTCTTTGGTGCACTCAGTTTATGCATTTCTCTATCCACTTCCAACAATATCATATTTTAGTTCCTTTTTTATAATTAATATGTTGTATGATTAACTTGATATTTTCAGCTCATACTATTGACAACTGATCTGGTGAATCTTAATTATCTGTTCTCTAAGTGAAATAAATCAGCGAGGTAACTTTACCCTCTAGTACCATAGATGAAAAGTTCCAGAGTCTTATATCTTTGCAGAAGTCTTCAATCTGCTACAGTTTAATCATGAATAAGGCTAAATCAAACCCGCAGAGTGGTCACACAAAAACATAGTTCCAATTGCGAATTTATACATTTTGTTCAGCTAGTTCTGTCTACAAAAGGTGTGATTGTTTATGCCGTCTGTTCATCTTTGATACTCAAGGTATTAATGAAAGCTAAATCTTTTGTTGGCAGTTGCTAAAACTAGTACTTATTCTCAATCTTCTAGAACACAATCATTAAGCAAAAAACATGCGGGTTTCAGTCCATCAAAGCAATCAAATGAGCTTTTGAAGTGCTTGCGACTGCTGAAATCGAGTGAAGTTTGTCGACGTGGGGAAGGTACATGCTTTTTTCATAGAAAGTGAATGTAATATTTTCTTCTTAAAAAATACAAATCTTTGTAGTTGCTTTATGCTTGTTTTATCGCTATAAGTAAAGCAAATTGTTGGGCCTTAGCATCTCTATTTCTTGTAGTTGTGGCAAAGGTGCAAAAAATGCCAGCTCTGTTATCGCAACGGCGGCCAGTCACAAAAGAGGAAGTATATAATGCTCTTCGAAAGGCAAAATCATTCAAATCAAAGAATCCATTTTTTCATGTAGTTATGTATGACTCTCATGTTTACACAGGATTTTTTTTGGTAAGCACATACTAATCTATTTCACATTCCAATTTTACTAATTCGAGAATTTGTTTTTACTAATTCACATGTTTGGAAGAATTTGTTTTTACTAATTCGAGAAAGCCATTGCCTGCCTTTTTCATTCATAAATTTTCTCCCTCTTTCATATTTTTGGATGTTACTTCCTGTATAACTAATTCTAAAACCACAATATATATATATACATATATATTGTTTGATTGGATGGATTGATCATATTGCAGAGACGGAAGAGGCCTTGTGCATATCAGTGTCACCTATCTGTCTGAGGTTCTTCAATGCTAAGTTCTATAGTATATTTAGACATGACATTGCAAATACATAGTCATTAATTCCTGTTTATACTAGTCTATACACACTAGCAAGTTGAGGATCTTTGTCTGTTTCACTTGTTTCTGTTCTTGGTTTTAGATTTTGGATATTCATAAAATGATTTATATGTATATGTGTGTTTTCTTTCTATGTGGTTCTGCTCAATCCTTTCAAGTCTAAACTCTGTTAAGTGGTATGCAGAATGTTCCTTCATCTTTTGCAAGATTGCACCTTCCCAAGATATCTCAAAGGATTACTCTATGGGATGAAAATGGGAAGCCATGGAAGGTGACCTATGTGTGCTGTAGCAACTGCGGCGGCCTAAGTGGTGGTTGGGGAGCCTTTTCTTTCACTCAGAATCTGGAGAAGCATGATGTCTGCGTCTTTGAACTAATTAAGAGATCTCTTATGAAGGTCCATATCTTCAGAGTCGTCGACAAAATAACGCCATTGATCCAGAATTTTAGAGGGGAAAGTTAAAATTCTATGGCATTTTTTTCTTTTCCATCAGAAGACTGAAAGTATGTTGCTTGATTCTTCTTTTTTAATAAAGACTCAGAATTGTTTGGCGCTCTCATTGTCCAGTTATCCTTTTATGTGTCATCTTGCTCAGTGATTGTCACTGCAGTGTGTTACTCATCATCTAAGCTTTGGAAGAATTATTGGTGTCTAAATCTGATATTCGAGTATCTGAAACTGTTTTTTGTAATAGCAACTTAGAAGCTTTTACTATGGAATTCTTGCAAGAAACTCTCAGACCATTTAATTGATTTCTTTTCTTTTAACTGATATATAGAAGGAATATTTTATTCCTCTTATCTAAACCACTATATATATATATATATATATATATATATTACTTCTTTAATTTCTCTTAAGGAAAATGATCGCTTAAAAATCATTTTTTCTCCAATCTATTCACTTTTGGAGAGAAATTGATTCCCTTTATTTTTTATTCTCTCCAAATTTGCTTGCAAAATATTTCCTTCTTTTGTGCGAGGGAATTTATACCTTATTTTATCTTTTTTTCTTCTCATTTCTCTACGTCCAAACATACCTCGAAGTCCACATCAAGGATTCGAATCTTGAGTTGTACTCGCCGAGTGAACTCGACACAGCTCGGACCCGAGTGACATGACAACTAGGTTCATAAATCCGATCCGATCCGACGTGACTCGTTTCGACCCAACCAGGTCGACTCTGGGTCAAGAAATTTTGACCGACTCACGACTCGTCCCGATGGTCTGCGCTAATCAACGTGGGAATCACGTGACAAACGGGTGGCGGTCGGTCTAAACCCCGCACTGCCTCAACCTCAATCGGTTTCGTTTCCCATCGGTTTCCTCACCTCCGCCCTCCGCCTCCGCCTCCGCCTCCACGCATCTATTGCCGTCGCGATTTGCCCCCTTTGCTCGGCTGCGCCTCGCCCTCTCCGTACTCCACGTACGGACGATTGGGCACCGGCTTCCTCCTCTCTGTCCACCACCAAACCCTCCTGAGGGCCAATCTTGGCTGCTTCGAGCGACAGCCGATTGGGGCGAATCTTTTGTTCCTCTAGAGGTTTCGGCATCTTTTTGTTTCGCTCCTCATCTTCGGATAATGGGGGAGGACGGTTGTGCTATGTTCGTTAATGGTTTGGCGGATGATTTGTTCTTATTCGGATAGTGTACTTGTGCTTTTGTTGCAGAAATTTCGATTAGATCATTGCATTGGTTGGTTGAAGCAATAGAGGATTGAGTTTGAAAGAGGGAGCTCATGGCCGATTGGGGTTAGTTGTCATTGAACTATAGATTTTGGGATGATCGCTTTTTAATTTAGAAAAAAAAGACTAATATGGTTAAATCTTAAAAAATTAGTCGTAATTTTGTTATTCATAGTTGTTTGCAGTGGCAAACATGTTTTATTTTTGACTTTAGGAGTAATTAAGATTAATACCATGACTGTCGCCATTGATACTTGTGGGCACAAGTTGTATGCACTCATATCTTGGATGTGATTCAGCACTTATGATTTTGACAATAAGATGCCTGAGATAGAAATAACTGTTAATCTTACAGCTATCATGAATGTCAGAATTCCTACCTTGATCATTACCTCTCATCAGACATTAGGACCATTAGAATTTCTCTTTTTGGGCTTATTTTGCCGGAATCTGAAGCACTGCTCTTCAGATTTTTTTGACAACATCATAATCTTATCTCTCAAATACTTGAATTCCATTTTCTATTGAGATTCATTACTTGTTAACATTTTTCTGTAAGACATACATAGGTTTTATGGGGGAAATAGGTCTTTGATTTGTCTATTTGTGTGATACATCTGTATGAAATGGCGTAGTCTAGTATATGACAGTGTATTTCCTTGCAGGGTGAAGTATCTTGCATCCTTCTTCTGTTTGTGGTCCCTCCTGTGATGTGTTTTGCTAGTATAGCCGTGTTCATTTCTTTCTTCATTCTTCTTTCTCAGAAGAAGACGACTTTGAACCAGCGCAGCCAAGTTTAATAACTAATCAGCCAAAGAGTCAGTGGGATGATGAGGATGTGGAAGATGAAGATATCAAAGAATCCTGGGAAGATGAGGAAGTTCCTGTGCAGGTAAAGTTGTTCAAATATGTCCGGTGGCATGATGTGCATGTTGGTGATTTCATAGATGTAGTTATGAGATTTTTTTTCCCCTTCCCGGAATATGTGGATGGTCCTATCGCTATCCTGGAACTTATAATTTGGCTATGGATGTTGCTGATGTGAATTAATTAATCTAGTTGTTGTTTAATTGTACCTTTCCAGTAAAATGTGCTTTGCAGGTAAACTAAAGGTTTTGGTCCACTTGTAATGAAAAGGAAAGTAAATATCCTTGAATATATGTGTAGGTGTGCTCACCCTTCTGTATGTAGGTCAGTTTCTGGCATGGGGCATTGCATGGTACTGAGGAAATATTGACTAGCAGGTCTGAGGAAATTCATTGTACATAGTGCTGTTTTGTCTTACTGAAATGAAATATGGAACTGGACATTATGTATTTGTACAAGTTAATGATTTAGGTTATAAATGGATGTGTTATAGAATTATCCACCTATATCTGCTGGATGTTCGTTGGATGGTTTTTCTATACATATAAGAAAGTTATGGTATTCTTAAAGAAGCCAAATTGATTTGAATCCAATAGTTAATTCATTGAACAAAAAGAAAACAGTAGTCTATAGCTCTATGGTCTGGATTAATATATGTATTTCACTATTTCTACAGATTTATGGTAGAATGCTCACATTATCTACATATTATGTTCTTTTATCTGCATTTGCATTTTAAATAGATATTAAACCATCTTCATTGAATATGATAAGAAACTAGAGATGGGGGTTGTTCGGGGATTGTTAGCATTGAGGATTTTGCTTCTTCATTGAACAGTTAGGTTTTTCAAGAAATAGCTTAGGGACACAAGTCTATGGTGCCTTACTATTATCAGTATGGACAAACATCTTCTGTAACATTATCACATGGTAGTGCCTTTCAACTATCTCAAAAGTGCAATAGTTCTTTTGTTGGATCCATGTTTACATTGTCTTGGATGCAGTGACACTGGTGTATCCTCAGCCTGTAACTGCACTCTCACTGGGTTGCTTTTAGGCGTTCCTGCAAAAATGCAGCTCCATTATTGTATACGTCCAATAGTTGCTTTGATTAATTCCTTCACTGAAACCTCTTTGTTGTTCTCGTTTGGATAAAAGAGTTTTGTGAATCTGTTATTCTAAGACAGTTGAAAGATGTATGTTGGTATTCCGTGGGACAACAGAAGGTGCTAATTTTCATATGTATATATGTACATACATATATATAGTGAGATGTAAATTGTGATTTTGTTGATGCAGGCACCTAAACCAGAACATGTGGTAGAAACTGCTGCACCAAAGCCAGGTCGCAAAGGCACTGGAAAGAAAGAAAAAGTACCTGAAGCAAAGACGAGCGAAATTGCTAGTGAAGTTCTAGCAGATCCTCTTGCTGAGAAACTTCGACAACAAAGGTTAAACAATTGTTGTGTTTCTTGTTTATGTTTTCAAGGGATTCACTCTGGGGAATGTCTCCCTTGTGTAGTAATATAATCAGGACATGACACTAGTTACCTTTATTTTAGCCATTTTGGTCACAGGTGCTTTCATTGGCTAACACGTAACAACTCTTGGCAGACTTGTTGAAGAAGCTGACTACAAATCGACTGCTGAGTTGTTTGCCAGGAAAGGTGATGAAAAATCCCTAGATAACTTTATTCCCAATTCAGAGGATGATTTCTCAGAGTATGCGGAGCTTCTCTCTCATAAAATCCAGCCTCACGAGGTTTGCAGATCTGTCTGAAGATTTTTTGAATCTTTTACTGGTACCCGTTCTCTTGGTATTGACCTACTTATTTATTCTTCAGAAAAGCTTTCATTACATAGGCTTTCTTAAAGCCATTATGAGGCTCTCTATGACTTCTTTAAAAGCAGCAGATGCGAAAGAAATAGCTTCTGCTGTTACGGCAATTGCAAATGAAAAACTCAAGGCAGAAAAGGAAGCTAATGCGGGCAAGAAGAAACAAGGTAAGTATTTAGAATGGCCTCGTTTTAGGATATATATCTGCTGCCATCCTGACACAGAATATTGATGGAATATTTTGTTTCACTGATATAATTTGACAGGCACAAAGAAAAAGCAGCTTCATGTAGATAGGGCAGAGGACGAGTTTGCTGCCGGTGGCTATGATGATATGGATGATTATGACTTCATGTGAGTAGTTGGGTTGGTTTCCTCTTTCTATATGTACTATCACATAATGGTCTGAGGTGGATAAGAACCATCAATGTGGCAATTTCCTGTGCCCTACACAAGGCTCTTGAGGAAATGTAAAGACCCTTGTGCATTTATTTGAGTGGGTTTTGTTCTCACCTGTTTCCTATTTTGGTGGAAAATTTATGAACAAGTTTTGCAATTATTGTGTGTAGAACTGTATGCTGTTTTTGGTTAAAGAAATGTTATATTCGTTGTTTGTCATACAGAACTCTATTAAGGTTGGCATACGGACATATTTCCTTCCTTGGGGGCATGTTGGCATTGTCATTCAGTCCTAATTTACCTGTTGGTGATTACCTTTTTGTTTTTTTTTTTCCTGAACGAAGAATAAATTCCTTGGAAACAAACTTGGAAGTATGTAATCGAACATGCATTGCAATCATCTCGATACAAAAGGTTTACTCACTGATTGGCTCCACTCGAAATTTACAAGAATTAGAAAAAAAAATTAAATAGGAAAAACTCATCCCTTTGTTTTTGTCATTCCTTTTATGGAATCCTCTGCTGCATGCTGCTCAAATTGCAGAACCAGCAATCTCCATTTGATTAGGACAAAGCTTTGTTCTATATTTTGCACCATAAGACAAATCCATAGTAGCTGTAAGTCTGTAAGTAATGGCTTCCACAACAAACATGTCAAAGGTACCTGTTGCCAAGATTCCAAACATTATAAGCCAGAGGAGGAATTAAAACGTCATTGCCTCGTTACTTTGAGCTAATATAATGTGAATAACAAGAATGTATACATTACACGGCTAGCCTTCCCATTTCAGCTGTTAGATCACCACCCAATCCATGCTGCAGGTTTCCCAAAGAACTCTCCAATTGTTTGAAGGTGCCGTAAACACCGTCAGGTGAGCCTTCAAGACTCTCAACTTCAACGTGCATCTTATCAACTAAGCGATGCATCTTGTTGGCACTCGACTTCATCTGAGAAATCTCCTGTGGTGGATAGACACAAGCTCCCAGCTCGTTCACCTCTTGACCCATCTCCCGACAGAAACTAAGAAGTTTCTCCAAGGAATCGGTGGATTCCTTGCTGCTAATTTTGAGGCTGGAGCTCTTGAGCAAGCCTGTGATAAAACGAATAAGCTCTTTAATGACAGCTAGTGTATCAGAAACCACACTGATGATCAATTGTGCAATTGCCATCTCCTCGGCCGAGAGGTCATCACCGATATCAGCTTCAGTTAAGTCACCCTCTTCATCAGATGTTGACTCGGCAGCCTTATTGGACACTCCATCTCCCAAGTCATTAGATGCAGCACATTTGAGCTCACCCATTTCCCGAAGAACATCCTTCACTGAAACTGCAACCTGAGTTATGGCTCGCCCAACAGCAGTGCAGTTTGTAGTTGGGGTTTTCTTGAGGGCAGCACTCGCTTCCCAAACTGTTCCTGCTAGCTGTGAGATGGAAAATCTCTTCTCGTGATCATGGGACCCTGCAAAAAGTTCATAAATGTATTACATTCTTCTGGTTTCAACCTAATAAAACATGTTAGATTTGTTAGTGTAACAAGAACACAATATAGTTTTTTGAGGGAAAAAAGAAGAAAAAAAACTAGAGCTCTTTTCTCCAAGGGTAAAAAATCCATAAAATTATCACTGAAATCAGTCATGCAACCAGACCGGTGAATCTTTTCTCCAAGGGTTAAAAATCCATAAAATGATGACTGAAATCAGTCATGTATCTAGACTGATTTCACCGGTCAACATTAAGATCCAAAATTAATCTTTTTTTTGTGTGTGTTTTTAAGTTTAGCACTTGTCTAATTGTAACTTGCTAATCAGATTATGGAAATGGATCATATCTTGACGGTGGTGAAGAAAAGAAAAGGTCAATCTATAGCCACGATATTTAGAACTTTCAAATCTAAAACAACAAATGGATTCACAAGTAAAGCATGATATGCACCGTAGGACACTGCTTCTCTTAATAGTGCAAGGCTGCAATCGACAACTTGCTTGGCAGAAGCATAGATACTTGCATGGAGGGTGGGCCCCGCTCCAACTGTGCTTCCATGGCAAAGTAAGACAAAACCATGAATTATGTTACAATATGCGCCCATGTTCTCCTCTAATGCCTTGGCATCGGGTGCTTCTCCACTCCAAAGCATTCCAGCTGCATAATAGCATAAGCACAATTAAGGACTACATCTAACAAAGCAAGTTCAAATACTGAATAGATACCATACCGAGGGGATAGCTTCACGCATTTTGATATCATAAATTAACATCATTCTACAAATCAAAACATGTTCAATAATACTAATGGAAGCTGCTTATGAAAACAGAATCAAAGCAAAATATTTAAGTATACTAATTAACCATGCACTGATTAAGGAGATAACATAAGCTGATGGCTTGATGCTGAGCCACAGACATTTTTTACCTCCAAATCCTTCCCACAAGAAATACAGTGTCTTTCCAAGTATATTCAGAAATTTAGACTTACTGACCTCTGCACCATTTAAATAATTACACCCCAGAAAAGAAATATTAGAAGTACAACACTTGTCAATCTGCATTGCCCATGAATTGATTGCTAAGATTGCTCGAAAATGATTAAAATTAGTAACCGATACAATCATCAGTCATTCAACCATATTTGTTAAAAATCACCAAATGGTAACAATTTCAGTAAGCAAGTAGCCACCAAAACATAAAGTCTGATATTATACACCACATATACAATAGTATTGTGTAATTCTGATCTGATTATGGATTATTTCTCAATATTATAGCCAAAAGTTGTAAAGAATAAGCTAAAATTCATCAAACTAAACCAGATTGACCAATTTTGGCAAACTCTTAACTAATTTTATAGCCTCAAAAATGAAAAATCAGGAAGATGGAAAGGAAAAAAAAAAGAAGAGTGGGCTCAAAGAATGATATAAATTCCCTTGTCTTTATTTCCTATGTCATTTTCCCTATTCGTCTCCTTCACTGCTCGCCGCTGCTTTTCTATTCATTTGAGGTTGTCAGGTTGTCTATAATTCATCAACCTTCAATTTAGTTTAATTGATTCTAGCCAATTCTGATCAATTTCTAGCTATAAGGGCAAGAAGTCTGCAAAATTTGGTCAAGTGTATTGTATCAAACTTGACTGATACTATGATAATGAAAAGGCACCCTGATCAAATTGCTCCCGGAAGCTGTAGAAGATGACATATAATTAATCGAGTACCAACTTTGATGCTACTAGGAATTCCAAGTAAAATCGACCCATGTTTCTTGAAACACAGCATGGACAGAAAACTAAACTAACACAAATTTAAGTTTCTAATGCCTAAACAGATTAGAGTAGTAGCAGAAGAATAAGATATATTCTCCTTCATGGAGCTCAAACCCATTCATAACCATCGGATGCTGCTGTGTTGCCTTTCAATCAGTACTATTCCACTAATTCTAGTCAGATTTGGTGGCTTCTGATTCTACATATGGCTTAAGAAGATGCAAAATACTCATTTGATCAAAATTAATCGTAAAAAGAAAGAGCACGCGCACCCATAGTTGCTTGTTTGGAGACCTCATCCCCCAACTTGGTAACTTCCGACCAATCCACCTTGTCCAGAGACGAACCGGCGGAGTGCTCTAACATCTGCCATCGCAATCGCGGCACGGATGAATGAAGGCGATGACTAACAAGCGAAGAACACCAAGATAGCCGTACCTGGAAGGTCTCCTTGATGCTGTGGACGTGAGACTCGAGGACTCGAGAGAGATGCGCCCATTTCGCGCTCTTCGACATCTCGGCGGCGATCGTGGAGTGGTGAGACCGGAGGAGGAGAGCCCGAGTTGAAGCGTAATGTCACCAAACTGGTCCATGTGAACCCTAAGGTCAAATCAGCTGCTCTAAGCCGGTCCATGTGAACCCTAAGTCAAATCGGTGCCTTCAAGCCGCTCCATGCAACACATGGACCGGCTCCGGGTGAGGATGGTCCGTAAGGTATAACAACCCAATTAAGCTCTTAATGTCATCTTAAAATAATTAAATAAGAACATATACTGATACCTTCGGCTCTGGGCACATCATACGTTTCGCTCCCTGTGGCCAACCTGCAATGTGCTTGGAGGACAGCAGTGGGCCAACAGTAGATTTTATATGGGTCCCACTCATTCGGTAAAATCGAAACGGTGCCAGGTGGGGCAGTAAAAATACTGGACACATCTACTCTATTCGTGCCGCCACCAAACAATGTTAAGCTCACTTTGTTACCTGCTTTGTGATTGGTGAAAGAAACGCCATTCGCGCATTGGTTGTGGGCCCACAAGACTTGTTATATGTCTAAAAACTAACAGGTAGGGAAATATTAGACAATATATAAATTACTAATAATATTTAAAGAAAGCGATGCGTTGTGTCGCCCTCTCACCGGTTGTTTCGGCCGAGTTTAGAATCTGAAAACCCGAATCTGATCTCTCTCCTCTCAGATCCGGCCGCCATGGCCTCCCGCCGCCGCAACACCCTCGCCACCTGCGCCGACTCCTCCTCCCAAACCGGCCTCGGGGCCCAGTGGAAAGATCACTGACGAATTCACCGGCGCCGGCGCGATCGGGAAGGTATGCCAGGTGATCGGCGCCGTCGTCGATGTCCGATTCGACGAGGGGCTGCCCCCGATCATAACAGCGCTGGAGGTGCTCGACAACCAGATCCGGCTCGTCCTCGAGGTCGCGCAGCATCTGGGGGAGAACATGGTGCGGACGATCGCCATGGACGGAACCGAAGGTCTCGTCCGCGGGCAGAGAGTCCTGAAAACTGGTTCGCCCATCACTGTGAGCCTCGAGACCTCTTCTCTCCTCTTTTCAATCGGAATGGCCTTTCTTTGCGATCGACATCAAAAACAATTCTTGTACAATGCCGATATATTTTTTCTCGGGTAGTGGTGAGATGATGAGTGCAGAGCAATTGTTATTTATGTCAAAGATGACTGTAGCAATGTAAATAAAAGGTAAGCTATCTTTTTCAAACAGATCATTAGCAGAGTAATGTAGCATATGAGCTTAAATTTGGATATGGCTCTAGATTGATTTTGTAAATCATTATTTGTATATATTGATATTTATCTGTTTACTTCAGTGACAGCTAGAAAGTCAACAAGACAAGTTTTTTCCTCTTTTTTCTTTCAGCTTACGCTGTAACTAATTCTGTGTCCTCAGAAAGCATTCACACTTATTAATGTCGTTCCCCATGTTGTGAATATTGACCATCCAATGTCTTTTGTGGTGACTGAGTATTACAAATATTGATTGGTGGACTTGGTCGAGTTACTTCTGTTTTGGCAATACTCTTAATTCATATGAACATAGATGATAACCTCATCATCATGTTTTTTCATATCTGGTTATTTGGTAAAGTGAGATATATGTAATTTTACTTATGTTTTTTATGGCTTCTCTTTGTTCAGATGCATGTTACCTTAATTTTTCGCACCTGGTTATTTGGTAGCAGTAATAAATATGCAATTTCACTTACAATTTGTGGTTTCTTTACTTCACCTGAATCAAGGTGTGGTTTACTTCACCTGCCTGTGTCAGATGCATTTTTCCTCTTGGTATTGTTTGTAATGGTGTTTTGTTTAAACTCCTGTATTTTTCTCTTCTTTTCTTCAGATTAATATTGAAGTGCTCTGCCTATCATAACTTTCACATTTTAATAAGTTGTTGATCTTCTGGCACCTTATCAAAGGGGTGGAAAGATTGGTTTGTTTGGTGGTGCCGGTGTGGGTAAAACAGTACTAATCATGGAACTGATCAACAATGTTGCGAAAGCTCATGGTTGGTCTAAAGAGTTGATCATTTATTCTTGATATTGATGATCGGTAATTAACTTGAATCATCAAATTCGTTGCAAAGGTGGTTTCTCTGTCTTTGCCGGTGTTGGGGAACGTACTCGTGAGGACAATGATTTGTACAGAGAAATGATTGAGAGTGGTGTTATTAAGCTTGGAGACAAGCAGGTCCATTTGGAATCATCTTCTTATTGTTTTTTATTATTATGCTGTTTTAATGCTTTTATCTAATGATGGTGTTTGTTTACTCGGTTTGTATGTCAGGGTGAAAGCAAGTGTGCTCTTGCATATGGGCAAATGAACGAGCCCTTGTGCACGCGTTGGTTTGACTGGGTTGACGGTTGCTGAGCACTTCCGAGATGCTGAGGGGCAGGATGTGCTTCTCTTTATTGACAACATTTTTCACTTCACACAAGTACGTCTGTAGAGATCTTGAATTTTGAATATTTTATCTTGGTATCACTTTTGTACTCTATTCTTGGTATCCTCATACAGTTTGAATTAGCTAGGCGAACTCTGAAGTGTCTGCCTTGCTTGGTCGTATACCCTCTGCTGTTGGCTACCAACCAACCCTTGCTACTGATCTTGGAGGGCTGCAAGAACAACAAAGAAAGGATCTATTACTTCAGTGCAAGCTATTTATGTGCCTGCTGATGACTTGACAGATCTGGGTCCTGCAACAACCTTTGCCCATCTGGACGCTACGACTATGCTTTCGTGACAGGTTTATATATGCAGTTGGTATTCTGTAAGCTGTTTCTGTCAGTGTGTTAATTGTCTTACCATCCTAGTTTAATTTCATGGGCTTTGTTTTTCCACTCATAGATTTCTGAGCTCGGCATCTATCCTGCTGTCGACCCTCTTGACTCCACATCCAGAATGCTTTCTCCACACATGTTGGGGGAAGAACACTATAACACTGCTCGTGGTGTTCAGAAGGTCCTCCAAAACTATAAGAACCTACAAGATATCATTGCAATTCTGGGAATGGATGAACTCAGTGAAGATGATAAGTTGACAGTTGCTTGTGCTCGAAAGATCCAGCGGTTCCTGAGCCAGCCTTTCCATGTTGCTGAGGTATTCACAGGTGCACCTGGAAAATACGTCGAACTGAAAGAAAGTGTTCACAGCTTTCAGGTTAGAAAATCAGGAACCTATTTCAAAGACGTGTTTTCAAGTTATTATTCTTCTTTTAAGCAAATTGGATGCTCTGTTTGTGTTAGTCTAGTAAAGTGTTTCTCATGTGTCAGAGGTATCAGATCTTTGGCACATACATGTTCTGGTGATTACTACATTATGAAATTCTATTCTTAAGCATACAATCCACAAGTGCTTCAGAAAATTGCATGTTGAAAGAGGGAAGAGATAGAAATGTAATAACGATTTTCCAGTATATGGGCTAGTTCTATGCATAATTTTTTATAAAACAATCACTCTGTGCCAATTTAACCAACAAATAAAATTAACTACAAAGACACATGTGAAATTTTGCACTCTGCATACTGGAGTCAAGATGGTGATAAGATAAAAAACTTACTAGCAGATCCAATAATATGTGTTTTCTTAAATATTTTTGTTTTGTTTGACTTGACTACATGGTATGTTGCCTTATCACATTTTATAGAGCAGACTGGACCCTTCTGAGCACACCCAAAGACCCATTGTAAGTCAATCTAGCCATTGTCCAGCTAGCCTGAAGAGGGGTGATCAACCTTATCTTGTTCTTGGATGGCAGCCTGCTTTAGATTGGGCTTGGCAAACATGAGGCCAAGAGGTGGATGGAGCCTCAAAGCTTGATTATAGCTTGTTCTTGATCGGAATATCAGTGGCTTTGAAGTTAGGAACTGACTTTTAAATGGAATTCTGTACAAGCTAGATAAGGAAGGACAACCTTCCCGTTCGGGTGGGATTGAAGATCCAGTCAAAGAAGGATCTCTGGCAGGCTAAACAAAGAAAATGATGAAAAGATGAAGATGAGATTCTAGAATTCCATCCCTATTAAAACATGGGCTGGCTGACGGCTACCACTTCGGATGGAGTCTGAGGTCGATGGTCCTTGTCGAGAGGGGATGACAAGCAGAAAGGGCCTACCATAGATGATCAGCCATGTTTCTTTAATGGATGACAGCAACTACATCAACAGATGAGATTTACTTCGATTATTTGACATACTTTTTATAATATTACTCATATTATTCCTAGAACTATATGGATTAGATTAGAACCCTTCTTAAATTAAGAGAATTGAAAACCATTAGCCCTATAAATATGATTTGATGTTAGGTCTATAGCCATTTCTCGGAATTTGGCTACTGTTTCATGTAAAAATTTTGGTTATCAGAATAGTTATCACCTGTATTTGGGAGATCCGTGTTGCTCCTTAAATTTGAGATCGTCCTGATAGGTTACTAACATTAGTGTTCCCCCTTCTTGAGAAATGTATGTGCCTAACTGTCCATCAACAGACTTTTCATGACAATGCATTGCAGCAGGCTTCCACTAAGCTTTTGTGCATTGCTGCAATACTAAATGTGTGTAACTTGATACACAGATATTGGAGACCCAGTTTCGGCTATTGTGTCATCGGCCATTCTACGGCATGTGAATAAAAGGGATAGTGCGCATCTTTGAGATCGTGCCATAAAATATTACATTCTTCTGAGATGCAATATGTTTGCAAATTACTACATTCTTTAAATCTCAATGTCTCCTTAGCTTTTGAGTTTGTTCAACTGCTTGTTTTGCTTGAGCCTATTGGACTTATCTCTGTAACTGCTCTTTGCATATATGTTGGTTCATGTGATTTACGCTTTTATACCATGTTTGGCAGGGTGTTTTGGATGGGAAGTATGATGACCTGCCTGAGCAGTCATTTTGCATGGTTGGAGGAATAGAGGAAGTCGTCACAAAGGCAGAGACGATTTCTAAGGAGGCAGCAGCATGATAGGAACTCACTACTATCCATATTTAGTACCCTTTGAGGATGCAGCTGGTGCTTCCTGCATTCAACAAATTGCAATTTTGAAGTGGTGACTTAAATCTTTATGCTTCGTTAGTCCTGGGTCAGATTTGTGGCTCTTTAGAGATGAGAACACATCATGGTCCTTCGAGGATACATTTAGCCCAATACGAGAACGCAGAGGTCTGTTTGATCATGCACTAAGATGGAACTTTCAAATGTCTATTCAAGTTAATTAAGTATTTGTGTGCATTGGCTGTAAGGCAAATGGATTCGTTTTCAAAAGTGGCGGTGCATGAGTTCACATGGACAATTATTGGTGCTGATCTAGTTTCTTGTGGTGCATCTTCTGGCCTCCAAGAAATAGAACGTCCATATCAGCAATTTAATGCTCAGGGGCAGCTGGAGACTAGAAAACAATTGCTTGCTAATTGTGCAGTTGATCTTTCCATTTCTTCTGAACTTATTAAGTCTAAGGGACTATGAACTGCACACGGGGAAACCTGCACTGGCCACCAATCCAGCCAGCCCTACATTTCTTCTTGTAGGGAGTGATTGCTCTACTCAAAGCTGGCTTTGTGGTTGTGGAAAAGCTGCAGCAGCCTATGCCTCTCAAAGCTGTAATTGGCATCTGGAATTGCAATTATTGGAGCGGTGGAATGGACTCATTGTAATAATGCCTCTCATTTAACGTTTAGAGAGAGTCCTTTTCTTGCGATTTGCTGGAATACTTGGAAATGAGAGTCTTTACTCATCATCCTTGTCCAACCAAACTGGTGAGCAGCAATCATTAGAACCTGGATATTATTAGCACCAGCGACGCCATCTGTTCCCTTGCATAATTGAAGCCCCGATTAGGTGCTTCGCAAAGTTGCGTACCGTGTAGTGGACGCCGTTATTATTATTGTACAAGGTATGCATATATTTATCTGTATACACAGTAAGAAAAAGAATAATCGAATGCAGAGTCTCTCACCAATACGAGTGATTAATTACTGTTCTTCGAATTTTATTTTTTTTAATGATAAAATTCATGTATGCCTTCCATCGTTGCTCCTAACCAAAGTTGACTCTAATGAACTTATTTAGAGGGTATTTTGGAGAATTTTGCATGTAAAAGGTTGATTAGAAAGTCATATATAGAGTATATTAGTATCATAAGCGAGTTCTCAAAGTTTGCATAACAAGTCCAAGTGAAGAGATATAATTTTAGTTTCTCTTCCTGATTTATTAATAACCTTTTTCAATTTTTTTTAATATTTTTTGGAGCAAACCAAAAGGTCACACTGTCAACATCAGCAATAATAACACAGAAATAATAACATAAAAGTCATGCAAGGGGCAGATCAATCTTGTAACTCGCAAGGGACATGTAGAATGTGTGGCCATCGATGGGATGAGCTCAAGCCTATTTATGGCTGTGGGACAGACAACTCTCTCACTTGATACAGCCACACCCGGACTGTTCAAGCAAAGCTGCAAATGACCTCCACCACAAGCCAATTCTCCATAATTAATGCAGAGAAAGCGAAAAGAAAGAATCGAAAGGAAGAACATAGTTATAGTTTATCTCCACCTAAATGATGATATAAACTTAACATAAGATAGCATTAATCTGATTCTTGCACTGCTAAGTGGGCAGTCATGGATCTCGACTTAACATCATTTTGTTACCCGGTGGACTTCCCCTTCGTAGTTAATGAAACATATAATGAAAGAAATCTACCACCAAAATTGATGTTTATGTCTGTCAGAGTCCTATATCACATCATACTAAAAAGGTCTTCTTCGAGGGTGGATAGATTAACCAGGAGAACATTCACATGGTCGCGTGTCCTGAGCTATAAATCTTTGACTACCAGTTCTTGTAATCTAATTGAAAGATCATATGATCACAACAGGTGTGGAGGCAAAATTTATGGACTTGTATTGGCCTGTTGTTCTATTACCTTTGCTTTCTTCCTATAAATACATGCTCTCGGCCCATCTCCCACAAGCACCTCTCTCTCTCTCTCTCTCTCTCTCTCTCTCTCTCTCTCTCTCTCTCTCTCTTTCTCAATGGGTGCACTCGATCACCTCTCGGATATGTGCAGTGTTACAGAGACAAAGAGAACACTGCAAATAAGGAAAAGGAGACCGCTACAGGTGAAGAACATCACCATGTTCGAGCCCTTTTGCTTCAGGGGCATCAGAAGAGAAATAATCTCTTCTTCTTGCTCTCTACCGCTAAATTTACTACGCTTTGTCCTTATCATCAGTTCTTGTTTGTGTTGTTTTCGGTTCGATCAGACTGTTGATCTGAAGGTGAAAATGGACTGCGATGGCTGTGAAAGGAGAGTGAAGCATGCTGTTAGCTCAATAAGAGGTACTTGACACGCCTCATTTCATTTCCCTTTCGTCTATCTTCGCGCAATATTCTCTCTCTCTCATGTTGTTTCTTCTTGTATCGTATCTGCAAATAGTTTAGCTGGAACAAGAAATCAGTACCGAAGATGCATGAATACCGTACACTAGAATAATACAATCACCGGTTGGAGATTTTGCTTGAGCATTATCGATCATCTCCATCTAGTTCATGTTTGAGCACCTTCATCAAATTAAATATTTGGGATCACCCATTCCTTCTGTCACAACTACTAAATACAATTTTCACTACCATCTGTAAGAAACAGATCCTTCACGATTGAAAAGGAAGTACGGCTCCATGAACACTTCAGATTGGGTTCTGCACCTTAGTTTTCTCTCCTTACGACTATAGCTGACTTGGAACGAATTGGGTGGTAGGTGTGACGAACGTGAACGTGAACCGAAAGCAAAGCAGGGTGACGGTCACCGGCCACATCGAGGCAAAGCAAGTCTTGGAGAGGATCAAGAGCACGGGAAAGAGAGCAGAGCTTTGGCCCTACGTCCCCTACAACCTGGTCGCGTATCCCTACGTCGCCGGAGCCTACGACAAGAAGGCCCCTTCTGGTTTTGTCCGAAACGCGGCTCAGGCGGTCCCCAACCCCAACGCACCGGAAGAGCAGTACATGTCGCTCTTCAGCGACGATAACCCAAATGCATGTAGCATCATGTGACTCAACTTGCGCATGGCTGTGAGTGAGCTAATAAGGTGGAATTGTGATGCTGAGAACTTAAATTTTCCCGAGTTAAATGAGTAGAAAAAATAGATCTTGTAAATCACTATGTATGCATGTATATTTCTTGCAGAAGGGGAATTATCTACCGATTTCTCAGCAAAAGGTTTTCGTGCTTCCTAAGCCTTTCGTGTACTGCTACATGTATATATGTGAAGTCTGTGGAGTAGTAACAGCACAAATTGCAGCAGTATCAATCTGTCAGACTTCGAGCCAAGGATGAGCAGATGACCGTGTTCTTGTTTGCCAATGCATGTTCAAAACAGAAAGCAATCAATTAGTCGTCACTTAAAGAAGAAAAAAAGAGATGTGAAACATGTAGAAGATTATTGCGAAGAACAGCCATGATTAGCCATTGGCAAGTGCCATCCAACAAGGAAGTGAACGGAGTGAGAACTTTCCAGTAGGAACAATCATTGGATCACAATGTCAAGGTAGACAATAATATAGTAGGACACTGATTGCAAGAGCAGAAGAAGAAACTTTGCACAAAGTCAAGGGCCCCTTTCCAATCACCAATGGTCATCTGGCACCAGCATGTCACATTACTGCAACCGCATCATCCTCCCATTGTTCTTCTTGTCCACATACACTCCTTTCCAGCTCGGTGAATCTTCTCTCCCTCTAGTGTCTCCAAGAACTACATGCGCAGGCTTTGTCTGAACATGGAGCTTGCTGGTGTTTCCATGTAGGTGTCAACAACTAATTGTAATGATGGGACTAGAGGTAAGGACACAGGAAAGACAACAATGATGTAAAGCCTTGAAGCTAGTAATGATCAAGAAGAGACAGCTGCAATGCTCGAGCAACATTGTCCATTTCAAATCAGCAGCTGCAGCTCAAACTCACATGTGCTGGCAGTGGATATAAGCACCAAACACATGGAAAGTATATGAAACAATAGATTTTGTTTGTTGGTGGACACTTGTACGTTGGATCTTATTTATATAGATTAAATGGCAGACACCTTTCAAGTCGTCGCTTTGGCCGAGTGGTTAAGGCGTGTGCCTGCTAAGTACATGGGGTTTCCCCGCGAGAGTTCGAATCTCTCAGGCGACGCTTGTATTTTTGGGCAACTAAAATGTGGGACCATTTCCGCGTCCAATCACAAGGCTCCATCTGTAGGAACAAAAAAAAAGTATGGCCGTGGGAACTTTCACTGGAGGAAGCCTCGAAAAGACCAAAAAGCCCATCCTTACAACGAAAGAAAGGAACATGGGTGTGGAGAAACATGGTCATTTGGGCTAAGAAATCCACACTCATTTATCTCTTATCACACACATTTTCTTATGAAGAATATTCCTCTTAGAAGCACTGAAGAAACTAAGAAGCAGAGCTTTATTACTTGAACAGGAATAGATAGATAGATTGCTAGGAAGAATGAAGGACAAATAATTTTTTGAAACAATCCAAGCAATGCATGCATGCTTTGATCACAGGTGCAAATCCAAATTCACAGTCTCCGTTACACTTTGCATTTCATAGTAAAATCGACTGCTCGAAGACGTAGTAGTAGTAATAGAAGAAGAAGAAGAAGAAGAAGCAGAGATAGCAGCATTACCGCTCCAACCAAAACCTCCTCCGGCTCCACCGACTCTCGACTCATCTCCTTTTGTGAGAGGCAATGGCATAACTCGATCCGCATGAACCAAACCCATGTTTGTGCCACCATGCACCGCCGCAGGAACTCTCCATGGAAACGGGCTGGTGTTGATCGGCTGCGTCGCCGAACCGAGGAAACGAGCTCCGACGCTGGTACTAGCGCGCCATGAAGGGTAGTGAGGAATGGTAGGGAAATCGAGTCCAAAACAGGGGTGGTGGCGATGGTAGTGACTGAGTCCATGCACGTTGTGGCCGTCGACAGTGGATGGTTGGTGGTGGAGCGCCGCTGCCATGTCCGGATAGAGCTGAGCACTCTTCGCGTGCTGCCGCTCGCGCTTGTGGGCGTTTTGGTGTCCGCCGAGGGCTTGTGATGTGGGGAAGTGGCGGCAGCAGTAGTGGCACACGAACCGGCGCCGGCTCTCGCTCCCACTGCCGGGGCTACAGACGGTGGCGCTGTCGGGGTTGGTGGTGAGGTCCTTGGAGGACTTCTCACCGTTGTCAGGCACGTGCGGGACTTCGACGCCAAAGAGGCGGACTCCGGAAGCGGTGGTGGAGGCCCTCTCACGGGCCGGCCTTATGAACGGGAGATGTGAGAAGGAGTCAAGGTTCATAAAGTCGCGAGTCTCGCGCTCACCCATCTCTGTGTGTAACAGGCTTACAGAACACAAGGTCTCGAAGAGAGTCCATGGAGAAAATGAAAGAGATTGGGTATAGAGATCATGTTGCCCTTGCAATATCTCCTCGATACAAGTTCAATGACCTTTGGAGTTTGTGCAGGTCTCGAGCATGGAGGTGCAGCAGCAGCGACGGCTACAATGGAGGCAACATGTGATTCTTGAATGAAGCAAGGGGCGCTCTGCAGCTCGAGGTTGGATCTTCTTCTTCCTCCCCTTCGTTTTATTCTTGCTACTTAAATACAAGGGCTGACTGTACTGATGAAATGACCGAGTAACATCAACTACTGCTGTAACAACACCATCACCTCTCTCTCTCTCTCTTGCCCTCTCCGGCTTTCGTGCATGTGTGCCCATCAGTCAGCATGGAGAATGGGTACGTCACAAGCCTTGATGGGAACATCTTTTACAGCATGCGACACTCCTGGTACCGATTGCTGTGGAAGCTCTTTATGGCTGTGGGCTTCTTTGCATCAACCACTGTTTCAATTGGAAGTGGTCCAGAGTCTGCGTTAGGTAATCAACTTAATGTGACTTGAGATTTAAACCACCCACAATTCTACTATCTTCCCCTCTGCAATTTTCATGCAAGTTTTCGATATGAAACCTAACCCAATCTAATGTTCTGGAAGGCCATATCTTATAACTGATATAGAGAACAATCTAGCGGTCAACTTTGTAATTAGATAGTGAGTTCCAAATGCAAATATCTTAATCTACAATCTATGCACACACAGAGATGTCTCTGCTACCAGTGGATGCGAGTACATCTTGGTTTGCTGCAACCTGGGAATTCTATATACTTGCACAGGCTTTAGAATCTCTGTACAGCTTGGACTATGGAGTTTAGCTTATCATCGTTTATGTGGTCCTTATGGCATCTAACCTTAATAACAATCCTTTTTATGTTCAGATGTGAACAGCTTCCAACCTTCTTCAGATATCACTTCTTTCCATCAGTAGCAAAGGTATTTGTTTTAGATATAAGTACACTATATATTATATCTGAATAGGTACTATGTCATGCATGCTTCTGCACTGTGCTCTCCAACCTGGATTTCCATGTGACGTGCAGTGATACATGCTTCAAGTAGAAACAGGGTGGGGGTGCTGATTCATTTACACTCTTATTCTGATGTTGAATGCGCCACTCAGAGATAGCAATTCATTTCTGACACCAATATTTAGCCAACCAAAAAGGACCACTCTGTCATTTTCAGGAAAAGAAACCTAGAATTTGTTCCTTGCAGACCCCTTGCTTTGTAGATTGCATCTATCCAAAGGCTGCTCCCATGTACTCCACAGAAATCAACTTAGTCCTACATGGGCAAGATTGATGCAAGTTTCTTTCGGTGAGCTTGTTCTCTCTTGCTTTCCAAGGAAGGCATGTATACAAGCTCTGAGCTTTTTGGTACGCAAGACCTCTTTGCACAGGTTCTAGCTGAAACAGTGACCTGATGATGAACATGGCACCTGCACACCAACCAAACTCTACAATCCACCACTGTCAACCTTGTGCAGAAGAGTTTGCCTCGTTCATGGATGCCTCTACAATCAGGACTGCCTTCAGTCTGTTATCTTCTGCCCTCATCTTCCAGCTTGGGCATGTTAAAATAAATGAGAAACCCTAAATGTTTCAGTCCACTGCACCATCATTTGATCCTTTAACAAATCTGTCTTTCATGTACTCCAACCCTATTAAGTTTCTGATATCAGATCGTATTGTTTATACCCTAACATCAGCATTAGTTCATGGCAACGAGGTTCTCAAAGTGACACAACAAGAGTCAACAGATAAAGTGGTTTATAAATCATCCCCACTATATTATTATTTAGCACAAAGTTGCATATATATATATATATATATATATTATATATGTTTATATTTTAGCTTCATCAATGGTACACGGATTTGTAATGTCAGCATCCCCACTGCGTTTAATACATATGCAATGATGTTTAAGCCAGGACTATGGCTTCCACAGAGGTGGTCTCAAGCACTGGTTTCAACTCGTCTCCTTCATCATGCCAGATCTCAGGCAATGCTTCTCTTATGTTGTGAATGCTCTCTAGTGCATTATCAGCCCCTGGCACTACCACTGAGCTCCCAACCTGCAACAATATATTATGTGACATCAATTTTATGTGATAATAGATTCATATAAATAACCCCTTGAGAAGAAACTGCATGGTCCTTCAACTTTTGCGGGGAGATCTTTGACTTACGAGAACAGTATGAAGGCCTGCTGCCTTTCCTGCTGCAATGTTTCTTGCACTGTCATCGAAGAAGACCTGTGTGCCGAAAAATCTTCGATCAGTATATGTTCATTTGTGTCTGAAATCAAAAGACGATCACTAAATTATGACTAACTGTTCTCCTGGGATCGATGTTTGCGATCCGAATTGCAGTTTGCATGGCTTCCACCGATGGTTTGCAGAGTATTCGTTCATGGGGAGTTGTGTTGCTTTCAGTATTGGTGATTGAGTCGGTTTCACTATAGAATCCATGATTATTTAGATCATCTGGTAGATTATAAGCTGGAGTAGCTGTGAGCTTATCATCAAGTTCAGTCTTTTTTGGTGGTGGATTGAGCGTCTCAAAGCATATGACACCTTCAAAGCAGTCTTCTAAGCCAAGCCTGCTGAGAACCTTCGCAGCATGGGCTTGGTCTGCATTTGTGAAGATCTGAGACATTGGAATCAATGAAATCAGTAGCATGAGATGTCTAAACAAATTAGATCTTTGCTCTTCGTAAGTAGATTTGCTTACTATCTTTCGTTGTGGCATTGAAAGGAGCATATTCCTCAACAAAGGATCCGGTTTCAGTGTCTCATATGGCAATCTTCCATGAACATAAGCATGGAATTCATCGTTGTCGAAGACGAAACCTAATGCCTGTCGATGAAATGCTTAAACTGATGGCTATCTTAACGGAGTTCTTAATCAAGTAGAAGTTTGTACCTTAAGACCAGCCATTGTTGTTCCGTATTCTTTGTACAATTCCAAGCACATTTTTGGGATTTGGCTTTCTTCTATTTGAAGATGGTGCAGCATGTAATCTGTGGTCAAGCACAATTCAACATTAAGATCCGTGTGATAACTCGTTGTCTAGATATGTTTATGACCTATGGTAACTAATTATTGGTAGATGAACGATTAGGAAATGGACTGCTGCCACAGATAAGTTTACCTTCGATGTTCTTGCGGCAAGCCAAATTGATGCCACAACTCAAGGGATATAAAGTATCATCCATATCTGCCATTAGTGCATATGAATGTAAGACTTCATTAAAGAAAGAAGGATTCACGTATGTTCTTATGTCCGAAGTCTGAGCTTACCGAAGAGCAGACACTCATACTTGGCTTCACTCACAGCAGTTTCCATCTTCAAATTCTATACCTTGAAGAAATATGAATCGATGAGCAATACAACCCATACAAAGATGTTATCGCAAAGCCAAAGCTCAAACAATTAAGAACTTGAAATTATCATTAGCTTCAAAAAAGAAAACAAAAGAGATGACATGAGAGATTCATTGCAAAGAAGAACATGAAGAGCTAAAACATTACCCCTTGAGAAGGAAGACCCGAAATGAAGAAAACCAAGTGAAAGAATATGGGAAGCTGATTGCTTGGAGTGATCTCCTGGAAGGCTCAATTTATACAAATCCAGGAAGCCAGATTAGTGGCTAATGGGATATGACTCTTCCAATGATTCCAGTGGAATGTTAGAGAAGCATTTATTATCTGTTCTTTGAATAAAGCAGTTTATATTCTTTCTTTTATCCTTGATGCCTTCCTACACAGATCCAAGTGCCTCCTCACATAGAGAGAGGCAAATAGCACCACTAAACACCCCCAAATTCCATTCTATATCCTTATTTCTTATGCTGCTCGGCCACTGGTTGCCAGACGTCCGACATCCTCTTGGAATTTTGGGAGCAGTTGCTTGCTAGAGTCTGGTCATGTGGCAGGATTCTGCAGGGTGTAGTGGACGATGGGGTTTATTCCTCTGTCGAGAGAGTGATGGGCATGAAGCATTCAGCCTTTCTTTGGAGTGCATTGCTGGCTTTCTCTTGTGGTGGCCTGCTTTGATGAGACACAAAGCAGCATAGAAAATTAGATATTGTAGATCGAGTTAGATAAGAGGAAGGAGGGTTGGTGAGAAGCATGGAAGGATGGTGGCTGATGGCCACTCAAACCAGCTTTTCTTGGTGGTTCATGGGTATGTGGTAAGGTTGCACAACAGAAGGAACAATACATTGCCAGATGTGTTGAGAAGTTGCTTCAGTAATCTGGTCCAGACCTGTGGATGAACAATACCCATGATTGCTTATGCTTCAGTAATCTGGTCCAGACCTGTGGACTCACAGAGACAAAGTGTTAATGCTTACCGAACGTAGATATAGATTGATTGCTTATGTCATCTATTTAATTAGATAATATAGATTATTCGAATGACATTGAAATGAAAGGTATATAATCTGGATCTTGATCTAACATTATTTGATTTAAGTTGTTGATATTAATTTTTTCTATAACATATTTATAGTTTTTATGTTTACAATTGATACCAGTATATTTTGAAATCAAAATAACTTATATCATAAAAGAATTTTAGATCTATTTATGTGACTAGATTTGTTCATTTTTTAAATCATGATTTTAATCTCAAATTAATATTATTTCTAAATTAATTTATGGTGTATTATGTCTAATCTTTGAATATATTCCTTCGTGCTCCTCATCTACTTACATGTGATGTAACACGGTGATTTTTGAATATATTCCTTCGTGCTCCTTACCTACTTACAGGTGATGTAACACGGTGATTTTTGAATATATTCCTTCGTGCTCCTTAGCTATAAAATTAATCAATTTTACCTGCTTTAGTCAAATTTTCATCGAAGCTCAATTTTAACCTAATTTTTAATTAATTTATTTTTAAATTAGATTCTTGATTGAATCTAATTTTGATTAATTTGGCTATTGGGTCTAATCTAGGTAGCTTAATTTTGGGATGTCCAATTAAATAAAATTGATTAACCTATTTAGATTATTTATAAAATTAAAATAAATTATAATTATGATTTTATTTTATATTTTTCTCATATGACATGTTGAATTTTTTTTCTTGTAATAATTAAATTTTAATTATTGTTCTTAGATATTTTTATAGTTATTCACATTCATTTATTTAAAATTATAAAATAATATATATTTCTTATAAAGGCATAATTTATGTTTAATCATGTTTATAATTATCAGATTAGATTTTTCTTTTAGGTTGATTAATATTTAATAATTATTATGATTATTATTTTATTACTATTAAACTATTTTATATAAATTAAATTAAAATATATTTGATAAATATTATTTATAATTTATATATTTAAGTTTTATCGAACTGGTAACTTTCAAAGTGCTTCATGACTTATATATGCTTTTAGGACATGAATTACAACATATATTTTGTTATTAATAAGATATTTTAAATTATATTTTATATTATTATATTGATCTTGTAATCATCAAAGTGGCATAAGCTAATAGTTTATAAAATTATATTAAAAAATTAGTCCTAAATAATATTAAAAATAATATTCATAATGGCATATATAATTAAGAGATTTAGATAATCTCGGGAGAATTTACTTCAAATAATTATGCAATGCAATATGATGATACTATTTTAGATATCCTTACGGTTTAAGATTTTATACCTAGATATAGTAATACTATTTCATAAGGATGGTATTAATCATCCATAAATAATTTTGAGTGAACATTTGATATATCAATATTTTACCTAAAAATAAAATATAAATGATATAAATAGCATCATATTTTAGAAACTCAAAATATTAGTATTATTATATATTTTATAATAGTATTTGCTTTCATACATTCTCATGCTTCTAATATCCATGTACACTTTTGTTCAAATTATTTAGTATAGTTAGAATATATGTAGTTTATACTAGGCATATAAGATCTTGACTTTGCATTGCTTGTTGAAAGGTCAGTAGGCTTAACTAATAAAATTATTATGAAACAAATTAATAAAATGAATGCTAAAAAAAATCTAATAAGTTCAATGTAATATTTATAAGAATGACAATTGTAAACAATATAAAAACTTCATTCCTGTCTACAACTAAATATTTGAATGCTATAGAAGATAGATTTAAATATGTTGATAAGTCATTAATTAGCATATTAATAAAAGAATTGACTATGACTTAGTATTATGACACTCGAGGGATTATAGTTGAATGTGATAAGAGATTCTCTATAAATTATAAAAATCACTATGGACTATATTAGAAAAGTTAGTGTTATAATACATAGAAAAAAAACATGATATTGATGACATACAATCGCTATAACTTATGTTGGTAGTAAAATTTAATATAGTATTATATTTATTAGACTTATTGGTATATTTTATAAAATTCGTATGTACGTGTAAAACACTTTTAAAAACTTTTAAAATCTAATTTAATAAAATTATTTTTAAATAAAATTTTATTTTATTTATTTTGATTTTAAGTTTTTATAACTTATCCATTAATGGATGAAGTGAAAGAATATTAGATTATATGGTCTTATTTAATTAGATAAGATATACTTTAAATCTAATTAAATTTTGATTACGAATATAGATTAATAGAAAGAAAGTCCAATTACGCTAAGATTCATTACGAGATAACATTGATGGGAGGGAATCTCCTAGGGACCTCCAAAGAGATTAACATTTGATATGATAACATATAAAAGAGATGTTACAAATCCTTTCATATCTCCCTTTAGTCTTTTTTTTCATCACTTATGATCCTATGAAAAAAATATGAATATATCAAAAGACGAATCTAGTTTTTCTAATATCGCTACTTTCATTGGATTAGATGATGATATATTTATAGATTAAATAAATATTTTTTGAATGACATCGAAAGGTACATAATCATAATCTTGATTTATCATTATTTAATATTAATTTTTTAATAATAAAAATATAATTATAATTTTTATACTTATAATAAATATAAAAAAATTATTAGCCAGAACTCAGGCAAATTCCAAGCATGATAGGAAGATTGAACAAACCATTAGTTCCTCTACTCAAATACGGTGGATTCTCTCTCTGGTGTTGTATTTGGGTTAATTTTGATTAGGTGAGTTTGTCACCATGTTTCTTTTGAAAATGGTCTCTCTTTTCCACGAGACGTTTACGGTTCACAGAATATATATGGATCTTTGGGCTGTTCCCTCGGACAATCATTCTTTACATTTCTGACACGGCTTTCCTTGACACACCGGTCATTCTTTGATGTTTTTTATTTGACGTAATTTATAGTATTGTATCACAATCATGTTTTGTCTTGTGGAGTGATGCTTTTTCTCTTGAGAGGTTCCCTTGACAGAACAAGTTCCTCTCTGCTCTTCATGTCTCAATTAGCTATTCTGCTTGATAGTCTTTACTTGTCCTCTTTTAAAACAATCAATAACGTAAAATCATTTAAACATATTAGGATTGATAAATATTCTTGAATTTATGAAGTCGATGTTTTTAGAGGCTAAGGGGTTCGAGTGTTTCTGGTGGAGAATTTGATCTTACTGTGGATAGAAAGTATTGAACTGCAATCAACAAATGGATTGTTCTAATAAAAGGACAGTCTCACATTAGTCCCAATCCTACTTTAGTTTTGCAGATTCACAAGACTGGTAAATTTGCTTAAAATCGACTGATGATGATGTTTTTCTGGCAAAGGGAATGTCGCTAATGGTATTGTCTTTTTCCTTGTCGACTATTGATCCAAGTCAACACTCTATGATCTCGATTAGTCTCGAACAAGGGATTAATTCGCATGCCGACCTGTCGCTAACAAGTCTGCCAGGTTAAGAAAGTTCAATTGTGTCCCAAGGAAGACTCCTACGAGTTTTGGATCAGCAAAACTGTCGAGTCTTCTTTCTTACTCATGTTCATCATGTGTTGGAAGAATTCACACATCAAAAGGCAGAACAAGAAGGAATACGAAGAGGAAGCAAACAAAGGTGTCGTCGTTTCCACTCTGCAACCAAGGTGTCAGCATCAGGAGGAGCCAATTAAGGAGACTCACATCCACAGATTAACTCCTTGGATGGTGTCTTCCTGCCGCAGGAGATGAGTGCCATTCCGGACTTTGTAGCACCACAAAATCCTTGATCTCATGATTCCTACCACAGGTTACATGAAACTGGCACAGCATGGGAAATTTGTGCTTTCGTATGATGCCTGAAGGAAAAGGTGTTTCAATGGAAAACTTATGGCCAGTGATAGACGTAAAGGCACCATCCTATTCTTTCTGCGGTATGTTCTTCTTCTTCTTCACAATGATGGAAGCAGTTATATGAGGTAGAAGGAAAGCAAGCAGCTGTCAGATGAGCTACAAAAAAGGTAGACAGCAAGAAACCATGATGTAGTAGCCTCGATGCAAGTCCATGTTGGCTGCTGGAACAAAAGGTTGTTTAGGATTTGCATCAGTGACTTGTGAGCTTAGGAATCTTAGTCGAAGAAAGGAGCATTTCATCCATGTTTTGCAAATCACTGAAAGAGGAAAACTCAATTTGCACAAGTGTGGAACTTCAACCAGAACAAGCTTTGGCTTATCA